AGCTATTCTCCAAAGCACATGAGAGTAGGACAAGAAGCAATAGATGGAAACTAATCAAGGAGAGAAGCAATTTAGAACTAAGGAGAAATTTCCTGACAGTTAAAACAATCAGTGCTTGCCTTCATTTGGGGGCGCTCCAACACTGGAGGTTTTTAAAAAGAGATTGGACAACCATTTGTCTGAAATAGTATAGGATTTCCTGCCTGAGCAGGGACTAGAACATCTCTCAGGGCCCTTCCAACTCTGTTATTCTGTTACCACAGAGAGAGGGGAGAATGAATATAAACCACAATAACAATCATTTTAAAATATTAGTAGTTCCTTGCAGTCTCCAAGCTCGGGGATATAAACAGGTCTGGTGAGATTTCCAGAACATTAACAGGGATGGAATTAAACTCGAGGAACAGAAAATATTTTTTTGAAATTATTGCTTAATGTTTGGCTTCTGGGTTTTGGATGGCTTTCTCTCTATTTTAAATGGTTCTAGTAAGTAAAGTTGGACATTGGGCAATGTCAATGGGTTATGAGGTTTATCTCAGATGTAGCATGCATTTGCTGGCACCATGAATAATCTTTTTCCCCCTCAATTTTTCATAGAAAGAAAAGACATTGGTAAAATGACTTGTGGCTGACTTCCCGGAAGAGTAATCCTGTGATGTCTAATTTAGCCTGAAAAGACCTGGCTTCAAATTCTTACTTGTCCATAAATTCTTCTGAGCATATCCCTTGTGCTCTAGAGCTCTGAGGAAAAAATAATGGCCTTTGATCCATTGTTGAGGCAAATCATACAGGTATATTGACAATCTGCTTGTCCTGGTTTTTTCCCCCCCTCCATCTTGTAGAATTCAGAAATGTAGATGTAAAATAGAAGTTCACCAGCTGTTTCCTTCCCCCTTTCACTGATAAAATTGGTCTGGGAAGGGATTGCACCTATGAAAATGGATAAATATTTCTCCTCGGTTAAAAAGAAATTGTAAGATTCTTGTTGAAAATATCCTCTGTTAACTTTAAAATATAAGTATCTGCCCTTTGGAACATCTTTCCCTTGGAAAACCTGGCTCTTTCCTGAGATGATAGGGTCAGGACTTCAGTGGACTACCAATAGATTAATCGTATGGATACTTTTAAAGGAACCGTTAGTTACAATATGATTATTAACTGTATTCTGTATGATGAATGGATATCCACAACATTTATGACAAGATTCCTGTGCAACATGCAAGGGTGAGAGGGGAAGAAAGAAGGCACAAGACCAACTATATGACAACAGTCTCCCATACTTCGCAAGCAGTTAGAATGCAACTTCTGAGATCTGCAAGTGGGCATCACACACTGCTCACAGACTACCATATGAGGACAGATCATGCATTGCAAAGATCATTTGAAGGTGGCAGATGCTTCCAGTGTAATCTACTAGATCCCCTGCATAGATTGTCCCTCTGTAGGGCAGATAAGTGAGGAAGCTAACCATTAGATTGCAAGAACATAATTAAGTAGTCAGACATGGAGATCCAAGCTAACTGGGACTCGCAATGAAGGAGGACATACATTGAATTTTATACCATTAAGATTGTTGGCTGAGCAGGTACAAAACTAATGAAATTATTGAAGCCTGGGAAATGGATCCCTTGTCAGTCAAAAGGAGTGCCGATTTATCAGCTACCTAGGAGATGAGGAACGAAAACTTGGCCGTCGGCTATACAATGTTAGCTGGCGGGCCCTCGGAGGAGAGCCTTCTCGGTGGCTGCTGCAACCAGCTCCCCCCCGGAAATCCGGACCATACCCACTCTGATGGCCTTCAGGAAAGCCGTAAAAGTTTGGCTGTTCCGGCAGTCCTGGGGCTGTTGACCTCACTATTGAGGTCCGGCCCCGACTAGAATGAATTTCTGATGGATGATTATTGTTTTAAATTGTATTGTTTTTTATGTTTTTTATATTCTGTAAGCCGCCCGGAGTCCTTTGGGATTGATCACTATTGAGGTCCGGCCCCGACTAGAATGAATTTCTGATGGATGATTATTGTTTTAAATTGTATTGTTTTTTATGTTTTTTATATTCTGTAAGCCGCCCGGAGTCCTTTGGGATTGGGCGGCATATAAAAGTTTTAAATAAATAAATAACACAAGGAAACAAAACCAACAACTTCTCTACTATCAACGCCCTAATTAACAATGAATCAATACCACACACAACTAGGCACCACATAAATACTACACATAGAATAGCCCAAAGCGCACAGTCTGGTGAGAAGGAAATTCCCTGAGGATGGACTCCATCAGGAGTCCGTAAACTTAGAAGACTTAACTTCTGGTCCCCATGACCAACCCAGCTTGGACCTTGTATTCTGTATAGTTTTACACTTTTTTATTAATATTGTAGTTTCTCAGCTGCCCAAAGTTAAAATTGGGCAGCTGTATAATTTTCTTAAATAATAAACCTCTAGTAGTTCTACTTTTAAACATTCTATTTTGGGGCAATGATAGCAATGACCTCTTAACTTTATTTGGAAGATGATTATCTGGACCAATTTTAATCAGGCCATGATATAATAGTAAGGGTGCTTCAATAACTTTGATGGATGGTTTAAATGCAGCTATCTGTTTGAATTACTTGATACATTCTGATACCATTAATGTGTATTTTAAACTGGTAGGATTTGGCCATGGGGGATATCCTTGTGTGGTGGTTGCAATTCAGCTGTGCGCAAAATTTGTGCTGGGAAACAGTTTGTGCTGCTACATTGTAGTATGCAATTTGCTGGCCAGATACTATGGTAAAAGAAGGAAAGGTATGCAAGTTTTTTTTCCCCTGAAGGGATAAATCATTTGTGTGATAAATCAAATTTTAGTGGAATAATTCTATAATAGTTAAGCACCATTTTATGGTATGGTATGGCTAACCAGAGGTTTGAAGATGATGAGTGCATTTTGCACCTTTGGGACACAATAACCAAAGCACATCTTGGGATTGCCCATCAACTAAGAATTAAGAAATACGATCCGGCTCATTGTTCTCAAGATGAAAGCCAGAGGCTCAATGCCTCAAGAGTTAACAGTATTTGATTTGGCTTTTAACTTTTTTTTTTAGGTTTATGGCAGAAGTAAACTATGTGGTGGCATAAGCATTAACTGAAAGATAACATTGCATTCAGTCCTATTGTAAGTAGGATCTCTGCATCCTATTGGAAATCTGGTACATACAGGTCTCCCACCATTTCTGGGCATGCCCAAAATTCTAGGAAAATATCTCGGATAGGAGCCATGCATTTAAAAAAGTTTTTATTGCAAAAAGTAAATCCCCTTTCCATTCCAAATTCTAATAAGGGATATAGAAAATACAATTAGGATCATTCCATTAATCAAACACCTCTGTGATGGCATCAGCCTACAAAATGGAAGTACAATTGTACTTAATAGTATAAGAAACTGGCAGGTCAGGTCCATTCTTTCCATTACCAGTTTCTGAACATACTGTGGTATAATACTCCCACCCCGTCCCCATGCTAGGCAAAATATCTCTATTTCTGCACCATATGCTCCACAAATTATATCAGTGCTCTTTAGGTGTAGTGAGGTGGCGAGGCAAAATCATTTCAGCAACCATCCACTGATTTAGGTTTCCCAACCATGCAGCTGCCATCCAGGCAAAACAAAGCTGCCTTTTTGGGTCTGCTCTCAGAAAGCGGGAAGGATAGCGAGAAGTAGCAGCAAACTTAGGTTAAAATTCTCACACTACCTCCAATGTATGGCTTCATAACCCCAATCGCTCTTGCACAATCCCACCTCTAAGCAAGACACATTGGTAAAATCAGAATAAAAACACTTGTGAGCTGGATTAGGTAGCTCAAACAGATTTACAGATACACACTAAATATATTTCATAAACCTTGCATATAAATAAGAAAAAGCCCAATATTTGTTATTAAAAATAAAGCTGCCCTTTAAATTGTACAAAAACCAATTAAAGTCTGGCGGGGAAAGTATCCTGTTTGGATGAGTTTCAGTAGCGAAAAATGTGTCAGGAGCATTTCCAAACACAAACTGCTAGACTGCCTCCAAAGAACATGTAGAGCAAATTCTTCACTTCATGGGTGATTTCGAAGCCGAACCCTTCCCCAATCACTACATGCCACGAAGATCCAAATTTCTTGTCCATTGTCTCTTTGATCATCTTGGCAGCGCTCTGAAGGAAAAGTTTGACATGGAAGGGAACAGAAACCAAAAGAAAAAAAGTAACAAGTTACTAAAATAGAATGTCTTTTTTAATCTCACCAAAAAATTACCAGAACAAAAGGTGTGGACTGTTCCAGCAGGTAGCAACATCTGGGCAATGTTGGGCTGCAAAGCTAAGCAGCCCAGGGCCTGTTTAATACCTCCAGGAAGGACAGGCCTGTAATCTAGATGAAAAAGTTCCCAAAACATTCCGAAAAAAGGTAATAGGAAGCTACATCTGTACTGTTGCCATGAAAACCACATGTCCATATTAAAAAAGGAGCTAAATCTGACTTGATTCTTTTTTTGGGGGGGAGGGGGGAGAATGCACAAAGGAATAGCCTGAGCTGTAGGTAAACATGTTGACACCTGATTACTAACAAAACTGTTGATAGGAGTACATAAGCATGCAGGTTGTCCTTGACTTAACAACCATTCATTCAAAGTTAAAACGGCACTGAAAAAATTGCCAGCTTCACTATTGCAACGTCCCCATGGTCACATCATCAACATTCAAATGCTTGTCAACTGGCATGCATTTATGATAATTACAGCATCCTGGTGTCACGTGACCATCATTTCTTGACCCTCCCAGCCTGCTTCTGACAAGCCCATGGGGGAAGCCCAGCCCACTTAACAAAGACATGATTCACTTAACTGCAGTGATTGACTTAACAACTCTGGCAAAAAGGTTGTAAAATAGGGCATGACTGACTTAAGAATTGACTTAATAGCAAGAGAAATTCTGGTTCCAATTGTGACCGTATATTGAGGACTATCTGTACTTACTGCCAGAATACTTAACACAGTAACAAAAGGTTTTTGCCCCATTAGCTCCATCAGTTGAAATATTAGGAACACAAACTCCCACTTTCTTCCTGACCTTGCTTAAATGACATCTCCTTGCACAAATGTCAGCAGGGGGAAAGCTTCACATGTCCTGCTTTGTCCTGATTACTGAAGAAACTTCCCTGACTTCTCTCCTGCAACCATATGTGCTAAACCGGTGGCTGCAGGAGACGATGTCATCTGAGTGACATAAGTATGGAACACAGCTTATCTATCTCTGAGGGAGATGGTAGGTTTAGAAAGCGGAAATATAAATAAATAAAATCTAAAACGCAAGCGTGATGAACACTCTTTCCTGGATGCTTGAACGGAACTTAGCAGGCATTTTTCTGACCTAAATAAGAACTGAATCCAATTCCTCCAACGGAAACAACGATGTGCAAACTGAGGGGGCTAAATGCATGCGACACTTCTTACACTGAGCTACAAAAAAAATAATAAATCACCACTGTTAACGTATTATGCAATGCTAGGTTTTAAGCATAAAGGGATCACGTTGGGGAAAAATGCTTTATTATCATTTTGGTATAGAAAGGGATTTAGCATCAAAAGCAGGGGTAAAGAAGGCATTCATACAAACTATGATTACTGCTTTTTAATATATACAAATGGCACCAGAGTTTATAAGAACATAGATTTATTGCTGCTTCTATTACCTTTCCTTTTAGGAAAAGGTGATTAAAAATTAACTGAAGCATATCTAGTATCTCACCAAATACAAACGTCTTAGTGTCAGTACCTCATTGTTGGTGGCATATTTTTCACATGCAGTAACACACAATTCCATGGCCTCAACTCGCATTTCTTCCGGCATGTCTGAGTGCTGGAGAAAAATTACAAGCATAGAGGACCTTCGTCAGTATTAAGCCAGGATTGGTTATTGCATAACATTAACTCATAATCACATGGTAAGACACAAAGAATGGAAGGATTCAAATCTCTTCCACTAAATTTGCCTTTATTCATTACAGACAATTAAGCACCAAGAATACAAGTCTACAGACTTTCTCTCCAGTAATCCTTGTCTACGCAATACACGCTAGTTTCAAATAAAATCCTCCTTTCTCACACAAATGTAACACAAAGGCGGAAAGCTTCACATGTGCCATTTTAACATGACTAATGAAGAAACTACCAGACTTTTCTCCTGCAGCCATTTGTGGTAAACCAGTGCCTGCAAATATCATTTTTGTCTTCTTTAATGCAAACAGTCCATAGAGGGTTTCTAGTTACCAATATTGTCTTCTCTCTAATCAAACGAGTCAATTTAGCCATTTCAGCATATTGATCATGTTCACCAACCATTCCTCCATTGTAGTTACCACCATTTTTTTCATCTTTGTGCATACAAAAATCTTAAGCCTGATTTTTGACCTTACTTCAGGCCTTGGAATGAACCTCTTACGCCAGCTTTAGAATGAGCCCCGTTTCATCATTAAACCATGGAGGGGAGAATAGACTCTCCTTGATTAGAAAACTTCGCAAGCATTATGTAACACAAACAAAGAAGTATTAGCTTGCTTGGGCCCATAGCAAAGATTTCTTCATCATAGATACGCTATAAAAACATGGTTAGATATCATACAAAACAGCCATGAAAGATGTTGATGCTTACTAAACTATGAGGGACAGAAATGCACATTTTGATCAAGGGTGTTCTGTATACCTTGGGTAATCAGATTTTTGCAGATAAACTAATAATTCTTCAGTCACTATGGCAACTACCGGTACTTCTCTCCATCCTTCCTCTCACTCTTCTGGTTAGATTTTGTGGCAAATTTAAGATATAAAAAGTAAATTAAATTTCAGTATTTTCTGACTCAGAATATATCATTTTTCTTCACTTCCATTCTTACCCTAATCAGTGGGAAGCTGTGAAGTCTCTTATAATCTGCTTCTTCTTTTTTCCCCTCCCCAGTGTCTGCCATTGTTTGTCCACTGTGACTTCAAGTGAGGGCAGAATATCTTGAAAGGAACCAATCACGTATAGGCTAGCAGAGTGAATTCAGGTCAGTTTTGGAAAAATACCTTATGCTATATAGAAAAATAAAGAAAAAAACAATATAGCATAATATTTGGAATATAATACAGAATCCTTTTAAGGGAATAAAAATAAGCAGTTATTTTTATGACAATTATATTTGTCTAGAGTTTTTTTTTCTTACTAATATTGTTAAAATAGGCAGGCTTCAAATAATAACAATAACAAAATACTTGAATTATGGTGACTGTGATGATCTCTGTTTATTTGACTAAATTATTGCCATTTGTTTAAATTCCACATTGGGAGTCAGAATTTCAGAAGTAGCAAGTCATATTTAGGTTTTTTACTCTTTCAGATTAAGGAACTAGCTCTCTATTCCCCCCAGTGGAATTAACAGCTAATCACTTGGCCAATCTTGTGTAGTCACATATATTTTAAAGATTTAAAGTGTATTATAAGAAGAAGAAAATATCTTACTGGAGAATTTATAAATCAGCTATCTTTAGAGTAAGAGACACTTGTCTAGAGCGGGCATTAGTATATTTCAGGGTAAGCCGGTTTCAATTAATGAATTTCCAAATCACCAAGGCATTATTCTGTTGCTCCATAAAAAATAATGGAAGATGTGGATAAATAAGAATTAATCAACCTTCTGGGCACAATACTGGGTGATATAAGAAGGATGTCAATATGCTGAATTCCTTCTAAAAATATCACACAATATCATTCAGTATGCTGTTTGCAGGCAACATAGATACTCCGTATCCTTGGTATATGATACATTTGAAAAATTTCTGATCTTTCAATGCAAATTGTTAAGAAGCAACTACTAAAGGATGAGCAGTAAAATAAATCAAAATACAAAAATGCATACAATAATTCTGCTTTCTTGGCAGACAAAATTTAAGAGACCTCAAAGACTGGAAGGAAATACATCTTGCTATCCAAATGATGGAATCTTAGGCAAATAACGTTCCATTATTAACAAATAAATATGCTAATGTTAAGGGTTTTTTTGTGTCTTACAGGAAAAGTGATTTCGGAGATATTAGAGTCTTAGCTTGCTTATCTTTTTGAGGACATTTAATGATTTTCTAAATATTGTAACTGTAAAACTGTGTTGCCATATCTTTGTATAAAAGATACTGTCTTGCATCATTGTATCATTTTTCTCTTGCTATGTTGCTTTTGAATTATTCTGTAAACCAACTATTTCAATAATCTTGAGGCATTAAGACTGCATTGCCTCCAAATAAATTATCCCAATGTGGTTCCACCGTAAAATTACTGAAACACAGTTTCACCAAATACCAATTATAGCAAAAACTATACTGTGTGTTAATAACTTCCAACCATTCCATTATTTTGAAACCCATAGCCAGAAGTTAGAGGTGTTGGCTCATCTGTGAATCTAGTTATAGTGCAAATACATCTCACAGTAGTAACTTTTGATTTGACTATCACGTGGAATCAGAATCAATTTAATGTCCTATTGAGGCACAATCAAAAGATCCATTTGGGTCACTTGATTTTGGATCCCTTTAATTTAGAATGACTTGTCAAATGTTATGAGAAAAAAATAAGATTCTGTTGCCCCCTTCATTGCTAAGGAGAATAGTTCCTTATTCCTTATAGTTTTTTATCCCTTATAGTTCCTACCCATAATCAAGTGAAAAAGCCTGCTATTTTATGCATTAAAAAGTACATTTCCAGACCCAGAAAGCTTTCTATCTATGCAAGGGCTGGGCTCCAGCTACTCATTTCGTGGGGCAAACGCACACTCTGCACATGCTCAAAGGTTATCGCACCCTGCTTCCCAGGCGATTCAAAGCCGGCGGGAGAGCCGATCCTCTCTATAATAGAGGGCCATCTCGCTTCAGATCCAGCCCTAACCGAAGACATGCCTGTATACCTTGAGTGAAAATCCGAATTTCCACCCACGCACCTCCGAAAGGAGCGCCGAGGAAGAACCGCAGAGCCAGCTGGAACAATGATTCGGCTGCCTTCTTTTAGAGCCCAGGCGAGCCGCTTCATCTTCCCGAGCCCTGCTCAGATGCTCGCCTCCGCCCGCGGGTCATACACGGGCTGGGATGTGGGACAGTCCCACCCAGCCGCTCCGGAGAAAGGAGTCCTCTAAGACCCGGCTAAAAGCAGCGGCAGGCGGCACTCTCGGGAGAACCAGACCCGCCGAAGGAAAGGTGTGGGGCCGGTGAACGCCGGCCGGTCCGAGGAGGAAGCGAGAAGCGGCTCCGTCCACGCCGGGAGCCCCAAAGGAGCACTCGGTGGTACGTCTCACCTGCGTCACCTCGACCCCGAGCCCCCAAAAACCAGCCTCCTCGCCGTTGTTAAGGAAAGAAACGTGCTTGTCTTAGCAACCGGCGCCGGAAGTCCCGCCTTCCAGTTTGCCATTGGGCAGCGGTAAAAGGTGGAGGGCACGGATAGGGTGCGAGGATTGCCTATCATGCGGAGGGGGTCCTAAGTCACCTCCACAATTTAGTTGGGACATGGAGTGATAGGTGTCCACAATCTGCCTGAGGAGATTAGTGGAATAAGTTTGAGAGGGAGAGAAGTTTCTGTTTCTTAATTTTTCCTGTAGAAAACTTGAGGAGAGTTTTCGTGTGGAGATGCAATTACTGCATTACATAGATAGCACAATGGAGAGGAGGTTTATGCTTTTGTTCTCCCAAATGGAGTTCATTGAGTGCTCTCCTTAATCTAGAGACAACCCAAACTACAGATTATTTTGTTCTACTTTATTCTTGGAATTAGAATTGGTTTTGGGGGGAAAATACCATCAGGGGAATAACAGAAAGCTCGTTATCAATGAGGTCTGGATCTTTTAAAATGAAATAGATTGATTTAAATTGAAAAGGTGACTTTCAAGCAAAATAAAAGAAAGTTAAAATTAAAAAGGAATAGAAAGAAGGGTTAATATGTCCTGATTATATAAATGGAAAACGTAAACATACTGGCTAGCCATTCAAAAGTTTCGAGAAAATGTGACCAAATATTCCTGCATATATTTTCTTTGCTTTTATATTGGTGTAAAAGTTCAAACAAAGGGAGAAAGGGGTTTTATTATGTAAGTAGAGAACAAGTTTTCGAATATTCTTGAAACAGCTTTTGACTATCTGTATGCAATGCTCTCCTGTGTAGATCAGTGGAAGATTTTGAATAGTATAATATGCATGTTCTGTTGAATAGTCTCCCAATACTTTTAATTTTGTACTTCTTGGACAATAGCAATTAACAATGATTTATACAAATCTTTGGAAAAGTATATGAATTTTGAAAGCTGTGTAGAAAGTTATCACCCAGCCCTGTCCCAGAAAAATGAAATATCCTAGGAAATATTGAAAAGGCAGAATATATTTCCCTGGATGTGAAAAGGGGTGAAACATGTTTTAAAGACAAAGTAATTTCCTGCAGCTTCATGCCCCCACACCCTTTGTCAATGGGCCATTAAGATGTCCAAGCCAGTCCCTTTACATAATAAAGAGTTCTCCCCTTCAGCTCTAGGGGATTGGATTAAGGCATGATAATATTGGCCCTTTACCCAACTCACCACATGGCATCTGAGAACTCAACCAAATCTGGACTCAAAACAGAGTTGCCCCTGCATGGCCCCATGGGAGTCTGACAACCAATCAGAATACAAACTCAAGATCAAAGGCCAGAGAGGGCATAAAACCAGGGTCTTTCAGCATCTCCTTCCTTCCTTCTCTTCTTCTCCACCAACATTGAAGCATGTGATCACCTTTTCTGTCAGAACTCAAGCCATGTGGTCCTGTCCACCATTAAACCATCTTTCCAAGCAGCCTCCATGTCTCCGGTGTCTTTTTCCCCACTTGGAGCCGAACCCAGAAGGACATTTCTTTCAACAGCTGGAAAACTTAGAGAAAGATAAAACAGAAGGAGCAGGTTGTACTGGTAATTATATTATAGGGAAAGGACATATTGACACAAATCAATCTAACCTTTGCTGTTTGCTTCTATTAAGAATTGCTTGTGCTATTTTGCTACTGTTAGGAATTATTTGTTAGAAATTAATTCTGTAAACCTCAAATTATATATTTTGCTATTTGGTTTCTCGCTTCTGTTATTTGCTTCAAAGCTAGACACATCCTTGGAGATGGAACAAAAAAAGTTACCCAGGAACATCCTGCTCCATAGATAAACGGGGCCAAAGAAGATGGCTGCCTAAGAGCATGAACACACAAGGCTACAAGGGATGCTCTGTAAGATAACAAAGCATGGACAAAGAATGTTCCATGGATAAGGCAGGCATGGGCAAGTCATTGCCCATGTGGGTGACAAACTTTTCTCTCTGGTTGGCTAAATTTGGATATAAGACATTGGTACTAAATTCACTTATGTGTGGCTTTTCTCCTTGCATATTTGTTGTCTATATGCATATGGAATAAGTCTACCCAGCTCTTCTTTGTACAAATAAAAGCTGTTATTTTCCAACTCTCATTTTGGCATTCTAGTGACTCAAGTGCAGTTTTTGGACCTTACAATAGTATTTTGATATAAACATATGGCAGACAGCAGTTATTGTCTACAGAAATAATTATATTATCGTACAAAAGTAAAATTGACTGAAGCCCCAGAAGCTGTTATGTGATGCTTTAGTCCAAGGGTGTCAAACTGGTGGCCTATGGCCCAGATGTCTCACACGTAGGCCAGGTCCGTGAAGAGAAAAAACATTGCAATACATCATGTGATGGCAACATGATGCGGTGAGTGTGACACTTGTGCTTTAGTCCAATGGAGATCCATAAAATAGCAAGATGAATTGAGATCAAAATCTTAGAACCAGAGTTTGTGATGGGTCCAAAAAGGGCAGGTTGGTGGCTCAGCGGTTAAGATGCTAGGCTTTTCAGTGGAAAGCTTGCAAGTCAGGTTCGAAATCTAAGCACCACCTGATGGAATGAACTCGCCCCAGCTCCTGCCAACCCAGGGGTTTGAAAGCATGCAAATGCTAGTAGATAAATAGGTAGCACTTCTGTGGGACAGTAACTGTTAGGTAAGCTCCCCGTTAGGAGACCGAGTGTGTTCAGAGAAGCGTTGTGCTGAAAGCGTTGAGAGTTGTGTTGAAAAACACACAAACCAGCATACAGAGACACTGCAGTTTAAATAGGCTTTTACTTTTGTGGAAATGGAGGTA